TACTATAATATTATTAATTAATACTATTTAATATATATATTTTGTAATTTTAGATTAAAATTTTCAGATTAAGATTTTGAAATCAAGGTTTTGAAATCAAAATTTTGAAATCAAAATTTTCGTATAATATAAATTTAAAAGAAGAAATGAAATATAAAAGAAGAAATAAAATATAAAAGAAGAAATCTATAATTGTATTAACTAATTAATTTATGTAATATTACTAAATATAGTTATATATGTGAAACATTAATATCAATATAAGATATTTGTAATCAAAATTGTAAATTTCAGATTTAGAGTGATAAAAGTATATAAAAATAAGAAAAAGAGAATAAATATAATATTTAGAATATAAATATAAGATTTAGGGTAATAAAATAAAAGTAAAATAATTATATGATTGAATAAAAATAATGATAATTAGGTAATAAATAGTAAAAATTAAGAAAAAGGAGATTTTGTATAATCAAAGAAATTATCTAATTAGAGAAATTTATGTTACTACAGTAACAATATAAGTAGTTTTAAATTATATTGTGCTAACTAAATATTGTTATTGAGTTTATATATTTTATTTCTTATTGTGCTAAACAAAATATTATAATTAAATTTATTGATTTTGATTAAGTATTTTGATTTTTGTTATTTTGAATATTTGTTATTTTCAATTTTGATATTTTTTATTTGTAAAAAGTACAAAATAAGAGTCTTTATTATTATTATTACTAATTATATTATTTTAACTTTGAAAAATTTTATACAAGTATAGAGAATTAATATTTCAAATTTTTTTATCAATTATTTCATTATTATTTTATAATTTTTAATCTTTTACAACTTCTTAATATTATTATTATATCTTTAAATTATTATAATTTTAATAAAAATTGATATAAAACTTAGATATTCTTTTTTATTATTGTTTAATTTTTTTTAATTTAATTCCAGTTTGTAAGCTAATTTAATAATTAGTAAATAAACTTTAAACAATATATTATAATTAGAAAAAAATAATTAATTTATATATAATTAAAATAACTTAATTAGATTAATTCTAAAAAATCTGAAAAAATATATATTAAATATATAATTTTATTTTTATTTAATATAAAAATAAAAAATATTTATTAGTAAATTGAAAACTTTTATAAAGAATAAAACTTGCATTTACTATATTTAATTAATAAATTTGGAATTATTACATTATTTTTAATTACTACTATATAAATTTATTGGTAATTAATATAATTAAAATAACTAAAATCATATTAAGTAATAAAACTAATAAAATATTTTTATATAAACAAAAAATAAAAAATTTATTCAAATACAATTTATCTTATTATAAAATTATTATTTTTTTTATGAATTACAAAATAAATTTAGCTAAAATTAATAAAAATAAAAAATATCAAGTATTTTTATAAGAAAACTATAATTTTTTAGTAAAATATTTGTACAAAAATAATAGTTTTATTAAATAAAATTAATAGTAAATATCAATTTAATATCAATTACTTGCGAAATAATTTCAGAGCTAATTAATATAATCTGAAATAATAACAAAAATCAAATAGTATTTTAAATAAAAAAATTAAATCTATTAATATAATTAATAAATAAAATACAAACTTAATTAATAAATCAAATTATTATCCAATATTTCTTAATAATTCATTTAGTAATATAAATTATTCAATATTTCTTAATATTTTAAAATACTCAAATAATATTTTGTAATATTACAAAAATTATTTATAGTTAAACATCTCTATAGTCATATTTATTTGTAGTAAAAACTTCATGAATGTCCCTGAACAGCACATTGAATCTTTTTCCCATTGATTTGCGCATTTTGTACAACATCTTTGAGTTCTTCAAGTGTATTTGGTAAAAAGATATACTGTGGATTATTGATCACAGTGCTAGCCCAATTGCTCCATGTTTTTTCTGAAGTAGATGCAAGTATTTTGACAAATTTTTCCATTGTTAGTCTAAATTCTTTTATAGTCATCCTACTTTCATTTATATTTAAATATAGTAAAAAAATCTTCTCTATAGTTACCAAAGTTTGCTTTTTCAATTGTGATAGTTATAGAGAAATTTGACTATATATAATAAAATATTTTAAAATATAAATAATATTAAATAATAATATTAATTATATTATTAATATAATAAATAAAATAAAAAATAATTATGTTAAAATTAACTAAAAATTATAAAATTAAAAAATTTAATATTACTATACTTATAATAATAAAATCAAAATATAATCAAAAATAATTTAAATTTTTTTGTATCTAAAATATTTTTTATACGAATATAATTTAACTATAATTGAAATTGACATTAAAGGCTATTTGGTCGCTTGGATTAGGGTTAGAGTTAGGACTGGAGTCAGAATTATATGTAAAATTGCCTTCCAACATTTTTTATTAATGCTTCAAGCCAGATTTTAACTTTAGTTTTCGTATTTGTTTTTCCGAGTTGATCAAAATTTTGCGCATTTTATTGGTTTGTGCTACCGGCAGGCGAAATCTACACATTCTTATTGGTTATGGGTAGGGATGCTTCTGGAGTGTTAACATCCCTATTTGTGGGGAAAGTTAGGCGGATTAGTGTTAGGGCCAGGCTAGAGTTAGAGCTAAGCGGTGCCTCTAGGAAACAAGATATAAATTTTCTATAAAATTTATATGTCCTCAAAACCTCTCTTCTGACCAACAGAAAAATAGGTCTCAAGAGACAAGAAGTTTGCCGATGTATTCTTGTCGCGTGATTTGAGTGTCTACGGAACTTACCTAGCGTCCCCGAAAAAATGATAACCGGGGATAGATTATTGACAAAAACAAATCCGACGCAAGAAAATAAAAAATGCAGAAACACAGGCAACAGATGCTAAATCTAGCTTGAAACACTAATCAAAATGTCGTATATTCCGCCTCTATTGTAACTTATATTGAATATCTAGGATTAAAGGTATTATATGTTACTCAAATATAGCACAATAATAACATAAAATTTACCAAGACCTTTTCAATAATAAATAATCTATTTTTATTAGTCTATATACTTATAAAATGCTGCTACAATTTTTCAAGCGATTAATTTGTTTTAAACTGTAGTCAACGTAGAATTTCAAATATGTTAATTTTTGAACTGAAATGAACTTTAACTTTTGTAATAGATCTAGGCATAATGTATCACATAATGATATTTGGATCTCGTATTTGTCTATTCCACAAGATTCTAAATTATTAATGAGATTGAGAAATCGACCCATTTCCCTAAACTGAAAAAGGTGAAGATGGAGAAGAAACATCGGTAAAATTTAAGAAAAAAATATAAGCAGATGAAAAGACACAACGAAATAATAGACTAATAAACTAATCGAAAGAACAGACAGGACAAATATTAAATTACACGAAAGGATAAACGAATAAATAATGAGTAAATGAATCATATCTAATTTGCGAGGAACAAGGGGAATCTATTTGAATTATTATGCCTCGTATTACATAGTGTGAGGTTTTGAATCTCTTATATACACGCCCCTACAATAAATTTCAAAAATGAATTTGTTACTTTGGAACCCGATATCTCGACATCCGGTGGTCCCATTCGAACAAAGACATCACTATTAGATTCGTATAGTCGAGGAGAATCTAATGGTGATATCATTGTTCGAATGGGACCACCGGATGTCGAGATATCGGGTTCCAAAATAACAAATTCATTTTTGAAATTTCCGGTAATATATTGTAGGGGTGTGATTCCAACGAAGGTAAAGTGGTGAGTGATGAATTCGGTTGTGGATCGAAGCATTATTAACGTTAACGTCATATATCCGCAACATTGTTGTTAACATTGATCCAATGAACTTATTTCATTAAACACGTTGTTGATCGAACTTCCGGCGTCATTATTAGTACATGTATCATCAACTGTTGTTGAATTATTATTGACGTTAATATCAACATTCTCAGGTAAAAAGGAAATTGATCTAATGAAATTATTTCATTAAATGCGTTGTTGAACGAATTTCTGACATTACTAGTATTGATCGTGGAAAGATGTGTATCATCAATGGTTGAATCCTTCTTATTGTTAACGTTAATATCAACATTTCCAGATAAAGGGGTCAAATGAAATTATTTTATTAAACATGTCGTTGATCGAATTTCTAACATCATTATTAGTATAGATCGTGGTAAGATGTGTATCATCGATGGTTGTTGAAGCGGTGATAACAGTGTGATTATATTCGATTGTTGATGTTGTATTATTCGAGTGTGACCTAACGATTTGTGTTGCTTCTCGAGAATTGTTACTCGTTGAGCTAGGTTTATGTGACGATGTAAGTGCGTACTTCTTTGGTTCGCGAAAAACCCATTTCTTAACGCTTAAATCTTTTGCATTTTTTGGCTTATACTGCTAATTATGATATAAGCTTTTGTGATTCTCACTAGCATTTTTCTCTAATATTTTGAAGAAATGCTTGATTTCGCTTGATAGCTCTCGCCGATTTAAACTGCATTCCTTTGCTGTTTCTTTGACTTTTCGTTTGGCATGTTAATCACATAAACGTAAATGCGCTTCATAATCTCTTCGAAAAATTATCCAGCTGTTTTGTGGTCGTGGTTGTTTATCAGAATTACCACGTTTTCTTACAGCTGGTTTAGTTAATTCTTCAATAGAAAGAGTTAATTGGTAAGAGTATTTGCTTAAAATTAACAATTCATTGTCGTGTAAATAATTGTAATTGTATTAATGACGGAATTAGCCATTGCTTGCTTTTGTTAAGAATTTATTTCGTTAAATTAGGACAGTAAAAGATAAAAACATCACTTTTTTGGACAATCAGCCATAAAATTAAAAAAGAATTAAAAGTTGATATCGTAAAAAAAGAAAATAACTTTATTGAAATTTTATAAAAATGATGATTATAAAAATGGTCTTTTTAGGGTTGGGGATATGCGAAACATTTGCTTATAGGGATTCGTTGGATATTTATCTTTTTCAAAAGTAAATATGAAAATGTACTGCATTTTATTCCCACCTGAAACTATTTATATTTGATAGCCATAAGCACCCACAAATAGACAAATAGATATTATTTGCGGCTCCTTTACTGATTTGCCAAATGCATTACAGCATTTAGGCTCAGTATCATCTGTATGCGGGTCCTTTGGCACGTTTCCATTTGGCTGGCGATGTTTTGTATAGTTAAAAATCGAAAGCCCTACTTATTAGTGATACCGATACATAGCACATGACAAATAGTACGTGATCTACATGTGTTGTGAAAATTTTTTGATTATTCTTGTATTCGAATTCAGAATTGTCCACTTTATCGGACAATTACATCTTCGAGAGGCCCTATGATGTTATTCTAAATCTTTACATGTAAGCATATAATTTCTTCCTAGAAAATATAGCGCGTTATTATCATTTGAATGAACTCCCGCAGTTCGTATTGACCGACTCCGTTTCTTCTGAACAACCAACGATTTCATTTAACCTCAGGCTATTCAAATTATGCATTTTACTCATGTGTATTAACAAGCACGAAACATTAACCTTATACAATTTCTTAAAATATTCATGGTTCTTTTCAGTCTCTACTCTTGAGGTAAAAAAGACTTAAATCGAATGTGACTCGAGTGAATTTAATGCAGAAAAGCAATATACTATTTAACATTCTAAAAAAGTAATTTGGACATTATATCGTTATTATATATCCTTAGATAGCAAATAAAAAGCCTTTGATCCAAAGTACATTCTTTAAATTTCAAAGAATCTGTTTTATATCAGGAATTCCTTATACGTAAAAGCGGATGTCTTTATCAAAATTAACAACATTTTTATTTGTTTAATTCTTGATGTGTGTTACTCTCCAAAAAATTCAGGCTTGTCAAAGTGTTTTGTTTAAAGCTAGGCTCTTTATATGTACAACATTATTACAAAACTTTATACAATGATTCTCTAAATAAATATGTGTAGAGTTTTATTAACGTTAACGTTAAGTTTCGAAAGGAGTTTTTTATCATGTATTACTGTAAGAATTTTCTACTTAGATACAAAATCGAATGTTAGGCGCTTCCTTAATTTTAAAAAATGTTAATTACGCAACGTTTATTTAAGATGAGAAACAAGTAATTCCGTTATCGCAAAATTTATCATTTACAATCCGAGTTTAAATTATATATTTGCGACTTCTCTTCCGCTGATTACCTTTGGTTTTGTTAATTAATGGAAATACGTTATTGTACATTACATACTTTGCTTATTATTAGCTAAAGATCATAAATAATTCTCAGAAACTCCTAGATAAAAACTCAGATACATGATCAGATCAATGAATACTGGAAATTGTTTTCAATTGTCACTTGAATAAAAAATCAATTTATGATCTAACTCGATACATGTAACTCGACGCTAACGCAAATCAAGGAATCTGTAAGTATCAAGTGTTGAACTACGTACATATAGCGTTAGCCGTAACATTGTTCGTATAACATGTATTTTATACATCTTGAGTATTCAGTAGAGATGTTATGGTTCAATCCGATTCGGTCCCGATTCAAAAAGACCAGTTTTTTTAAATCAGAACAGAATCATATTGGTCTTTTTTGAATTATCAATACATGTATATCGATTGTTATTAATTATTAATTAATACATGATAATTAAGTATTTAATATTTAATATATGGTATATAAATAATATTAAGAAGAAATCTAATAATATTACATGTAATTGAAATAAAAAAAGAATAATTTTTTCTATTTATACCTATATTATAAGCAAAATATCATATATAAAAAATTATTAATTTAATGCTCTTTACCATCTGCTATTCCATTACTAAAATTGGCATTATTAATGATTAACAATGAGAATAATAACAATGGATATAATATCGTGGCTCAAACAAAGGTCAAAGTATAGTTTATTTATATTACCGAAAATTTCAAAAATGAATTTTTCACTTTGGAACCCGATATCTCGACATCCGGTGATACCTTTCGAACAATGATATCACCATTAGATTTGTCTCAACTATACGAATCTAATGGTGATATCATTGTTCGAAAAGTGACAAATTCATTTTGGTAATATATTGTAGGAGTGTATACTTAAAGATAACGTTAATATTAATACCGATTGCTTATCATTACGGATGTACATGTATCAGTATCATTTATAATATTATTAATGGACCGATTCACAGACCGATTAAACCACAAACCGAAGGAGTTCAGACCGGTTTATGAGACCGGTTTAAGACAGGTCTAGAACTGTATCAGACCGAACCGTAACATCTCTAGTGTTCGGGATGTAGGCTTTTCGGGATGATCAATTTTCGGATGTTAAGATTTCAGGATGTTGGATTTTCGGTAAGTTGGATTTGTGATTTTGAACTTTCGGGGATTTCTTTTGTCAGACATATCGATTGTCGGGATTGTGGTTTTTGGGATGCCATACCGGAGCCAATTATATAACAGAATATGTACTATAAACATAATCTTTTCAATGAAGCAATCATAGCCGAACAAAACAAACGCAAGCTATTTATGCATGCAAAAAATACTCTATTATTAGCGTTCGCATTTCTGTATCTCAAATGTTTAATTAATATTTTTATTATTTGGCTGTGAACATATCCATGATAAGTTTGCAAAGATTGTAAAATAAAAGTTAATAATTTGGATAGGAACAGATTAATGATTAATGGATGTCTGGTTTTATTTTCTAGCTTTATTTGACTATTAAAAAAAGAAAAAATTATCTTCCCATAATAAATAAAAAGACACAAAATCAATGTAAAAAGTTCGCGAATACTATTAGGATAGATGCTCTTGTAGATAAAACACAGATAATATCAAAACATAAAGATCGAAAGAACAGAACGATGTAACAAAGTAAACAAAGTAAATGAAGTAGCGAAGTAGCAGAGTAACGAAGTAAACGAAGTAAATAAAGTAACAAAGCAACGAAATAAACGAAGTAAACGAAGTAAATAAAGGAAATAAAGTAGCGAAGTAACGAGTAAATAAAGTAACGAAATAACGAAGTAAATGAAGTAACGAAGTAGCGAAAGAATAAAAGAAAAAAGAAAGAACAAACGAGCTAATGAATAGATCGTCTAATAAAACATACAGAATAAATTCCAGAAAGCTTGTTTATGAGGGATTATTCTATATCATTTATTAATTATTAATTATCTCTGTATAACACAATAACAGAATCAAATAAATTATCAAAAATGATACGAATCATATTTTGTCATAAATAGTTGCAGTGTTTGCGATTTTGTTAAAGGTGAAGTGTATTGATGAAGGTGTTCAGCGTTGAAAAAGTATTAATCTCACCATCTGTATTTTCATCATCGTTATTATTATTATTTTCAGAGAAGAAAAAATCTGTTTCAAATAAAATAGGAAGTTGATTATCGTTATTGAACACGTTGTCGAACGAATTTTGAGCTAAATAATTAGTATGGTCTTGTTGATTATATATGATTGTTGTAAAGTCAATACTATAATCTTGTTAATTAGAGATGGCTGTCATAAAATTATTAGTATAGTATTGATTATTGTAAATGACTGTCGAAATTGTTAGTGTTGAAGATGGCGGCCCGTTGATTTGTATTAGTTCTTGAGGTGAATTGGAAGTCAAATATGGTGACCTGTCGATTGTATTAATTCTTGAGTTTGTACTGGTTCTTGAGGTGAATTTGAAGTTAAAGATGGCGGCCCGTTGATTTGTATTGTTTCTTGAGGTGAATTAGAAGTTGTTATACTAAACATAGTTGTATTTATAATTGGGATATGTACGTTTATGATTCTCGAAAGCTATTTTCTCTAATATATTGAAGAAATGCTTGACTTTGCTTGAAAAATTTTAAACTGCCGGCTTATGCTGTTTCTTTAACTTTGATTGACATGCTTATTAAATAAACGTGAGTATACTTCACAATCTCTTCGAAAGATTATCCATCTGTTTTGTGGTCGCGGTGGATTAAGGCGATTTTTTACCGCTGATTTGGTTAATTCGTCAATCGTACGAGTTAGTTGGTAAGGGCATTCTTGTGAAATCTGCATTTCATTGTCAGTTAAATATTCGTAAGTAGTACTGAATTTAGTCATTTCTAGATAATTGATTTTATTTAGATAATTAATTTTATTATAAGTGCATTGTGATTTATTTCTGATAATTAATTTTATTTCAAGTGCAAATTTGGACTTATTTATAAAAAGACATTGGCTTTATCAGTCACCAAACAGTCCGCCCACATTGCAATGTTCAGATCAAAAACATACAATGCCACTGGGGGTACAGTCGGTCAGATAGTTGACAGCTGCGGTACGAACCTGGCACACATTCCAGATGTGCTATTTTAAAAGAATGTTACGTCATTAGAAATCTAGTACAAAATTTTGGCCTTCATTATGAAAACTTGAGAAAAGTGCATAATTTTAAATATATATCATATATCTGGTAAAAATTATGCAAAAAATCAACCGACAAATTGATAAAGCTTGACTTGACATATTGTTTTTATGGT